AAAAAAAGTTCAAGGCCCTGGAAAGTTTTTGAAAACATCTAAAAGATGGTCATCCTTGAACCCAACCAGAGCAGAGCAGGGTGGGTTGTTCAGTGTCCAGATACTATGTTTGTAGCTCCTCCTGCACTGCGCCCCTAAACCTCCTTCCTATCTCTAAAACTTAATGTTGAATTCAGGATCAGTCCATGTCTTGTCAACTAAACCTGTAGCCCTGTGCTCCTCCTCTCTCCTCACTGCTCCGGTCTCATGCGGGCCATAACGCACAAATCAGATCATCCAGGGAAGAAAGAAAAGATGAGGGGAAAACAGAGGAACAATTTAAAAAAAAGTCAAACATATAATTTCTATGTTACAATTAAATGAAAATCTTAAATGTAGCTTTTGCTCAATCAGCCCTAAAATAGTGCTAGAATTGCCACTGTTTTATTGTGAATCACATTAGTGACATGTTTTTTTGATAAATGTACAGAAACATTTCAATAGGGTCATGAAAAAACTTTTTTATTAAGTATATTTAGGAAGTTATGCATGAATAAAATGTCAAATATGGTGCACTATAATTTTTATTATGTAAAAGTTTAAAGATACATGATGTCTGGGAAAGAATTGGAAGAAATTTTTTATGAACATGTGTACAACTTCACATTGTAAAACATGTCCAAGTGTTTTTCATTATATATGTGCACTTGGTGGCTCAATTGGTCGAGCTGCTGCCTCCCAGCAAGAAGGTTGCTGGATCAAATCCCGGTCTGGGGACCTTTCTGGGTAGAGTTTGCATCTTCTCTCTGTGCACGCATGGGTTTTCTCTGGGCACTCTGTCTTCCTCCCACAGACCAAAACCATGACTGTTAGGTTAATTGATAACTCTAAATTGTCCCTAGGTGTGAGTGAGAGAGTGAATGGTTGTTTGTCCCTGTGATGGACTTACGACCTGTCCAAGGTGTACCCTGCACCTCACACTGTGACTGCTGGATATGGGCACCAGTGACCCTAGAAAAGGAATAAATGGGAATAGATGATGGATGGATATACATACTTGTATTTTTTTAAAAACTTGTTAAATGTAATCTAACTATTGTGTGCATATATTGCTTGTGCCTTACCTATCAGCACAATGTTATTTTCACATGAAAGTACACCATATCAGTGCTGAGATATGGTTTCTAACACCTGATATCTAAAAAGAAATCAGGTGCTTCTTTCACTTTAACCACACTAGACGGGCCTTCTAGCCAATCAGAAACAGAGTGGGGACGGGTTTTGGCAAAACTTTAATTCAGATCCAGCAAATTCAAGTGGTGCTCAAAATAAAATATTTGTTAAAACAAGTTTGAAAAAACTAGAGACAATATCAAAGCAGTCTGGTCTCATCGCCCTGACAAGGAAAACTTTACACTGGTTGGAGTCCCAACTGGACACAACCTCCACAAAATAGTGAAGGGACTCCATGATGGTCTGTGTGATGCCTGTGGTATAGAAATTAAAGACCTCTTTGCTTTACTCAGGCCACTGCCTGGCTCTGAGCTGTGAAAAGTTCAGACCACAGTGTTTCTAACATTGAGTTCTTCATCTGAGGAAACACAAAGGTTTAAGCTCAGTGTTACTTTGGGGAACACAACGGGCCCAGATATATGGGTTCTTTATTAGGCACTGCTGGGATTTGAACCCAGGCTGCCTGGCTCTGAGCTGTGAAAAGTTCAGACCACAGTGTTTCTAACCTTGAGTTCTTCATCTGAGGAAACACAAAGGTTTAAGCAGTGTCACTTTGGGGAACACAACGGGCCCAGATATATGGGTTCTTTATCAGGCACTGCTGGGATTTGAACCCAGGGTCTTCTGTTTACAAGACAGACGCTTTAACCCACTAAGCTACAGCGCCACACATCTGTGGGGAGGAGCTCTGCTGCAGACTTTTCTGCAGATTTCTATGGTTTTGATGAGGGAATGACATTATAACAATATATTTTTAAAAAGTTGATTTTGCATAATAGGAAGAAACGTGATGCAAACTGAGACCTGAACAACCTTTTAGTGTATCGAAAGAAAAACCAACAAACAAGTTAAATTCATTTATTCTATTATTTTTGCACAGTTTGACACTTTTCACAACAGTTAATATTCAACACAGAGAAATTCATCCACACGTCACGTCCACATCAGGCAGAGAAACAAACAAAAAACACCAAAATATTCCTGTAAATATTCTGATCACGATGCCGTCGATGTGCCAGAAACAAACGAATAAATAAATAAAATGGCAGCAAAGCAAAAAATGTTTTCTTTTTCTGTCCATTCAGGCTGATCATTCAGAGTGTAGCACCAGACAGAGTAAAAAATAAGTCCAAATATGGGTTTAAAAAAATTCAGAGCATGAAATCAAGTCTTCAGAGAGCTCAAACAAATCAAACACAGGTAGAAAAATCCAGAAAGGCACTTTAAGTGTGATGATGTCCAGATGCAGAACAAGGCTCGTCAACATAAAGATCTATTCTTTTTTGTTTTTCTCAACAAAGACAAAGAAGTTTCTGGCATCAGGCGTCTTTTCAGACCAATACAGAGGAGTCCAAAAGTCAGGATAAAACCTGCTGCTCCTTATAACCACAACATCATGTTCTTTTAAATTAAATTATGCTTTTATCAAATTTCCTACAGAAATCTTTCAGGAGCTGAAACAAGTCCTCAAAACTCAAATACAGAGTTGGAGCTTTTTTTGTGGAAAAATTCAAGTCAGTCTCATCTTGTCTTTATTCTGTCAGCAGGGTTTCATTACATCATTTAGTCAGTTTATACAAGTTAAAATTTATTACTTTTATATTACACTTTCTTCTGCTTATTTAGCTGAATGTAGTCTTAATAACCATTTCTTATAGTGGATAGAAGTGTGCAGATTTGTCCCTTTTATTGGCCAGTTTTCCATAAATTCAGTTAGTGAAACATGCAACACAAAGACAATTTAAAATAATTAAGACTAAAATTTTATCAGGTTAAATTGATGTCATTTTAATAGATTTTGTGTTCTTAAATGTGTGACTGTTTCTGCAACTTTTAACCCTCTGAGTGTAGTGAAGCACCCCGTATTATTATTATTCTGTTTGAGTCACAAAGTTTAATTTGCTGCTTTTTTTCACAACTTTTTGAAAAACTCATCAAAACTTGACCAAGAACTGTGTGTTCTGACTTTTAGTAGCAGTGTATTGTACGGCGTAGATGGAATTTGCAAAAGAAAAAAAAATGCAGTGCATTTCCCCACAGACAATTTTGGTGCAACAATGAGAAACCCCTGTCCTTGTTGGAGCTCTACAGCTCAGATATACTTCACATACATATCATTTAAAGTTGAAATGGGCCACAGAGGTTTGGGCTGACATGACTGAGCTAGTATTTTAATGGATTTTACACAATTACAGTTAAAGTTGAAAGATTTCTCTTTTTGAGTTTTTACTTTAACATGTTTAACTAATGATAATATGTCACAATAACTGTAGAGCTGTCCACAATTTACTTCATAAAATATTTGCAAATAAACCATTACCACAGTTTTAAACTTCTTATATGTTTATAGTCAAATTGTGAGTATTTTTGTCTCTTTGTCTTTTGGTTTTCAAACAGTGTGAACGTCCAAACTGTATCTCTGACTTCCACCGAATCTGAGCTCAGAATTGCTAAAAATGGAAGTAAAGACTATTTTTAACTTGTATATCTAGCATAAAGTATTGTAGACACATAAATAAATGTGTGACCATCAGAACTTTTGGTTATATGTATTTTTTTTAACACTAACTAATAATTTTTACACATCAAATTTTTAGTTTTGTCTGTGTTTCTGCCTGCCTCTAATGCTGCTGCATGCAGTTCTCCTTTCTGGTACCCAAAAAATGTGGGCATGTCCATGGCAAACACTGGCTTCTATCAGATTTCTGTTATTTTTGTTTTTTCACCATGGCTGTCCCCATAGATCCTGCATAATTTCATAATCCAAACTTATCAGGAGAATTAAGTAACAGTGGTGGCAGAATTCAAGATTTAAAGTAAAAAAAACAAAAGGAGGCAACACAAAGCAGTTTTAAGCTGACATTTCAAAATAACAATTAAAAAACTTTAAAATACGACTTTGATTCTGCCATAACTTGGGTTAATATTCCAGATTACTGTCGGGCTTTAGAGAAGAAAACGGATGGATGCATTGTCACATCCGAATGTTTCTTCAGGGTTTTTCATGGTTGATTTCTGTTCACTTTAGTGAAAAACAGCAGCTTTTTTTTATTTTCTGGAACATCTGAAAACAAACTACACCTACTCTTCTGTCTGATAATGTGTGCTGAATGAACCAAAAGAACAAAAGAGTGATGAAATGTTTAAAGATCAGAGTGTGCAGGTTTAACGTCACATCATTAGACAAGCTGATGAATCCCACCGTGTCTGTCCCCTCATGACGGCGGACATTCCTCCCACACTGGTGGGGGCGCTGCAGAGTCCTGGCTCTTTGCAGAAGGTGCTGTAGGAACATCTGTAAACATCAAATGAGAGTCTTCTCTCAGGCTGTCTGTGGATGAGAAGCATCGACCCGCTCTGCATCCACTTGTGGCTCTGTTAAGGCGCTTCGGATCTCAAATGTTTACAGACATTTCCACACAAAGATGCTGAAACAAACAATAACAAATAAAAAAAACATTTTAAATTAAATATATAAATTTTTAATTTGACACAAATTTGGAATAATTTCAGATGCCTATGATCAGAATGCTGGATAGCTGCTATATTTTGGTACTGATCACCTGCAGTCGTCTCCTCCTGTGCTGATCACATATTTGTCGTCGTGGGAGAAGCGGATGTTGGTCACATGAGGCGAGTGGCCGAGGTAGCGTTTGTGTTTGGCCTAAAATCAGAAACAACAAATAATTTCAGTTTGTCGGAGCAATGTTCCTTCTTTGACCTTTGACCCCGCAGACAGAGACTAGAAGCAGAAACTCACAAACTTGTCTGTGCAGGGGAAGTCGAACAGTTTGACCAGTCCAAAGTCGTCCCCGGTGGCGATGTTCAGACCGGCGTGAGACACACAAGCGCAAATCACGTCGGCTTTGTCGGCGTTTCGAGGCCAAATTCCTAGAACTTCATCTCCCAGAATGCTGTGGAGGAGTAAAGCAGGTTCTCATCAGGAACAGGAAGTTGTGAAGCTTCCAGTCAGGCCAGGCACAGGGAATAAACCTTACCTGGTCCATGTGGCCCAGGTGATTCGATCAATGACGCTCTGATCACTCAGCAGCTTCCCTGAGGGAACCTCGAACACCTGCCGCTTGTACACTCCTGAGGACACCTGAACACAACCAGCGTGCACACACTGATGTAGGAGAGGGGCGTGCAGAAGTTTTTTATAAACTACAGGAGGCCTGGCAGAAATAGCCACTGGTCTAACTATTTCATCTCCTGTGCTCTTTCAGAACAAATAAAAGTGTTGTTTAAATAAGCAGGTTTTTTGGGGTTTATGTGCATGTATTTAAGTTGTGTGCTGGCTGTACCAATGTTAGTACTTTTACTAGAGATGTGATGTTTTCAAACATGAACAGCTCCTAACAACAAAGATGTGTTTTTTTTCTCCTCAAAATATCTTCATCATCACGTCCAAATCAAACGGCTCTATGGAACGACTCTGTCAAAACAATCAGCTCATCACGATCCAGATCCCTTCAAAGAGCTTTGTGCCTCTGTTTTGTGCCTTACCTGAATGTAGCAGCTGTCTGCAGAGAAGTCCAGCTGCAAGATGAAAGCTGGAATGTCGCTGCAGTAAACCAGCCGGTTCAGACCGGGTCCTCCGCTCACATCGTACACATCCACTGTGTTCTCCACTGAACCAACTGCCAACAACCGCCGGTCAGGACTGAAGCTGCACACAAACACCAACAGGTCACTTACATTGGGGCTGGGTTTTCCAAAGTACAATCATGCAATGCTAAATCTACCTAGAGTATGGAGTATAAATGATACATAACAGTTATTTTATAGTCATCTGCATCTAAGTCACTCAGAGTAAAGCTTTTCCCAGCTTCTATCATAGTACAGTCCTCCTTCCATCCTGAAAATCCCAGCAGAACCACATATTTTCCTTCTTTCCCGCTCATCTAGAAAACTGAAGATAACTCTGTTTGTTTCAGAGAAAGACAAACAGCATGTAGGAGTGAGCTTAAAGTGAATTAAGCTTTTCCTACATCTCTCATACACAAGGTTGTGAGGAAAGTTTTACCAAGGTATTTTCTCATTACTTTTAATATCTTGACTGTGCGAAGTGAAAAGTGACACAATAAGTGAACGTTCAGACGAGTTCAAGTTGATTCATAAAAGACTATGCAATCATTTATTTACACAAATTGAACAGATCATAAGTTACACTTGATTGTGGTCATTCCTATAACAAGCATCAAAGTTAAATGAGATAAAAACCCGCGTCTGAATTTCAATTCACATCAACTCAGATTACTTATATAGAACAGTAAAACGTCAGTTCTGATGTTAACAACCAAACAATTTTACTGGCACTTTTAGCTTAAGTTTTGACAATTTAAGAACAAGGAAAGGAGGAAAGTAAGATTAGTATGTTACTACTACTTTTACTTTTATCAAAGTGTGGGTCAACCGGAAATGCACGTCTTTTCTAAGCTCAGAATCACGAACAGAAGAGATTGTTCTGTCCATTATCTGATTAAGAGAACTGAGGAGTTCTCTTCCACGGTTGGAATGACCTGTCATGGCCTGAATAGAGTTCAGTTTGTGACAGAGTTCCTGTCCTCTTGTCAGGCCTGTCCGAGGCCTGCTTCGAGGCAGTAAATCTTGTTTCTTCACTCGAGGTGATCCCTACAGCAGTTAACAAATGTTCAGTGATTGTAAAGGATGTTTCTGAAGAAAGACGGCGCTGGATCTTACAGTATTTAAACAGTGGTGTCCAAAGTCAGTCCTCAAGAGTCGTGTCCTGCATGTTTTAGGAGCTGCTCTGGTTCAACACAGAGGAAACTAAGTAGTGCTTAATTAGTAGGCCTCCTCCATTAGCCATCAAGGTCTGCAGAGGCCTACTAATTGAGCACTACTTAGGTTCAGCTGAGTTGAACCAGGGCAGCTCCTAAAACATGCAGGACACATAAAACATGCAGGACACCGACCCTCGAAGACTGAATTTGGACACCACTGTAATTAAACCTTCATCTCTACATCTCCATCTTCTGCCACTTATCCATAGTCAGGCTGCAGAGGCAACAGGTCCAGGAGAGAAATGCAGACATGTCTCTTCCCAGCGACTCTTCCCAGTTTGTTCTGGAGGACCCTGATGTGTTTACAGGCCAGAGAGGATACATAGTCCCTCCAGTGAGTCCTGGGTCTTCCCCAGGGTCTCCTACCAGTGGGATGTGCCCAGAACACCTCTAAAGGGAGGCGTCCAGGCGGCATCCTAATCAGATGAACCACCTCAAATGACTCCTTTCAATGTGGAGGAGCAGCAGCTCTACTCTGAGCTCCCCCTGGATGATGGAGTTCCTCACCCTATCTCTAAGGCTGAGCCTGGCCACCCTACGAAGGAAGCTCATTTCGGCCGCGTGTACCAGGATCTTGTTCTTTTGGTCATGATCCATGCCTCATGACCATAGGTGAGGGTTGGAACGAAGACAGACCAGTAAATCGAGAGCTTTGCCTTTCAATGTCCTCATTACTGAAGACAAGGCCCCAATCTGTTGATCCATCTCCCACTCCATCCTACCATCACTCATGAACAAGACACCCAGATACTCCTTCACTTGAGGCAGAGACTCTCCCCTGACCCGGAGGGGGTATTCCACTCTTTTCTGGTCGAGAACCATGGCCTCAGACTTAGAGGAACTGACCTTCATCCCAGCTTCACACTCAGCTGTGCGAACTGCCCCAGTGCACGATGCCAACAGAACCACATCATCTGCATACAGATTTAAACCACTTTTTGATTTGGATTATTTTGGAGTTTATAAACTCAGGGTGATTTCCAAGATTGGCTTAAAATTTTAAATCACAGTGTTCCTAATTTAGGACATCAGCTCATCACAATCAGAATTACTCTGGGCTTTCTGAAAGCTACCGTTTGCCTGAATGTGCTGTATTTATTTCATACCTATGTAGCCAATAATAACTGTTCTCTATGTGACTGTTCTAAACCAGTGAAGTCATTCTGTTGTGTGTTGAACCTGTTTGTACTGTGTGTATGATGAATAAATCGATGTAGCTGGTGTTGTGTGTCTGATTTTGACTAATTTTTCACTGTTTTGTTGTCATCAAATGGTACTTGAGTGTAATGAGATAAATGGTCAGTTTACGCTACCCAGGTGTTAGACTGCATCCTGATTTTTGTCCTGGGTCTGGACTGATTAACTGGCTCTCCTGCTGTGTGATCATGTGAGAGAACAACTGTAAAGGTTTGTTATTCCAGTGAGAGAACGAGTCAGAGGATCTGTAGGTCACAGTTCATCATGATGTTAGGTGTAATAGAACTAATACTTTTATGTTTAAGCAAGTAATTCAAGACATCCTTTAATGACCTAGGTTTTCATGACATGCTGTTCATCTGCAGATAGAATGATTAAAGTCAGAACAAGATTTGCTAACAACAGTCATTCTTAGATATCACTTGTGTTTATCTTTGTGTTTTCCATTGACCTTGTATCAAATCTTGCTAAGATGACAGAATGGTGTTTGTTAATATATGTATATATATATATATATGAAGCCTCTCGAGACACAGTGTTGAACAGTTCAACAGAGTTCAACAGTAGTGTGGAGTGACAGAGAGAAGCAGAGGCACAGAGACAGGCCAGGTTGTCTGTGTTTCCTGTTGATGCAATAAAACTCAGCTGATCATCTCACAGAGTACCTTCATTCGGAGACCAACGTATTTCTGTCTCTGTTGTTAAATAAATATCCCATAACAAATGTAATAACAACTAGTTGTCAATAAATGAACCTTAAGTAAAGTAAATTAGGACAAGGGGAGTTGAACAAATGCTGAAGGCATTTACTTCCAGCAAAGTGATTGGACAAGTTCGAAAGCAAATGAAAAATTAAGACAACAAAACTTCATGAATAAATGTGGAAATGTCATTGAAATGTGCAAAATTCAGTTTCCACCCCATTCAGGTCAACTTTATTCCGCCCCAAACAATCCAAAATCATAAAAACAAAAATCAAACTCTACAAATACCAGAGCATACATAAGGTAAACTCTGCAACCCCAGCAAAGTAAGCAGCAAAAAAAGAAGAAAAAAACATAAAATTAAAATTTCAAAATCACTTTAGTCAAATACCACAGAGCCCATAAGGCATGAACTCAAATGTATGGATTACTGGCATGAGCTGGCTTGTGCACTGAAAAGAGAAAAAAACAACAAAATAGTTTAGCAAAAATAACAAACAAAAGCTAAATCTAAAAGTCTAAATAAATTATCCATCCATCCATCCATTTTCTGTACACGCTTCTTCCTTTTCAGGGTCGCGTGGGTCACTGGTGCCCATTTCCAGCAGTCACAGTGCGAGGGGCGGGGTACACCCTGGACAGGTCGCAAGTTTTATGGGGTTTATCCATCCATCCATCCATTTTCTGTACACGTTTCTTCCTTTTCAGGGTCGCGTGGGTCACTGGTGCCCATTTCCAGCAGTCACAGTGCGAGGGGCGGGGTACACCCTGGACAGGTCGCAAGTTTTATGGGGTTTACATCTTTCTTAAGTTTAACATCAACTCTGCAGTTTTATTGTCTTCTGTTCAGAGAGGCTGGTTGTTCTAACCCAATGTTTCCCAAAGTTGGGGTGGGTCCCGAAACATCAAGGTGTGGTCCTGAAAAGATTTTCTGAATTAATTACATTTTTGGGTTAGTTGTTACAAAGG